CTATAAAGCCTCTGGAGCACGGGGAGGGCGAAAAATGGCTTTAGAAAAGGCTGAACTCAACTGGCCAGCGTGTGCTGGCCAGCTGACAGGGCAACGTCTCGCGTGCCCTGACAAATGCCTCCTGTGCCACCTGTGGCCCACATGCCATAGGTTCGCCATCCCGGGTTTAGGACATTACTCTCTGAAGAACAAGAATATAAATATCTTACATATTTTCAGTTTTTGGTTTTGAAATGTATATTAAACATCTATGGAGGATTGGGTAAGGTAGGTGAAAAGCTTTCTATCGTGTTTTTTATTTACAGACACAGACATACACACATTGTCTGTCTGTCTATCATCTATCCATGTATTTCTATCTCATTATGTACTGGCACTTCATAAAGCGTTTGTTTTTTTTTTGTAGAGGTTGAGGTAGGAAACTATTTCCATTAAATTTATTTTGAAAACACCCTGTTTCTTTAGTTGGGGAACTAAAACATTTGTACAGCTTAAAACAAATTCCTGGAGGAAATAATAATAGTACTGTCTCTGTTCCATAGATAAGTAATAAAAACAAGATTTTAAAATACACGACGAGATCAAAACCAAATGGGCATATTCTGAAATCTGTGCAAACACCCTGTGACAAGAATGAATGTTTAACAAAACAGAAAACCGGTTCAAGACTTTCACTGGCTAAAGGTAGTAAACATCCTGAAACTGTGATGTTTACCAAGGATTTATCAAAAGGACCCTGTAATAAAGATGATGCTTTTATCATCCAAAAAGACAATACAACTTCAAAGCCAGATAATGTCAGAAATTCAGTTAAGAAAGCTTTGGCATCCAACAAGAAATTTAAAAAGCATTCTCTTTCTGTTGAGGATCTAAGGGACAATTTGGTATGTTTAACACAACAACAGCTGGAGCAGATTTTAATGGCAGTAAAAGAAGGAACCCAAGGAGCCACTCAGGTTCTGGATGAAAAGAAAAGAGATACAAGTAAGGTTTTTTTCTTTACCCAATTTTTGGGCCTTCTTTGTGGGGAGAGGAAAAGTGAGAAAGCACATTCATGCCTTCACTTTAGCATTGCAACGCAAGAGAGACAAAGCAAAACAAAACAAAAAAAGAGCTCTTTAAAAATGTGCATGTAAATTAATTTCTTTTAAATATCTTATAGTGACACTTGCTGAATTAATTAACTAGGTTCATTAAGTTCTGTTAATCTGCAAAAGTAAAAATATAACTTCAATTGCTAACATGTATTCACCAATGATACAGCTTTTACATAGCTATCATTAATTCCTCCTTGTTCTTTTATTTATCACAAGGTAGGAGCTATTTCTCTGCAAGGGTCCACATTTTAACAAATAGCTATGTTGCGTGACTCTGCAGTGCTAAACATTTTGGTCTTTTTTTCATTTTGGTGAATTTTAGATTATGTGGGTTTACAAAATTAGAGCTTTGATATACCGATTTTAAGGTTTAAATCGTTAAATCACGCTGTGTCAAATTGCCATTTTGTTGTTAAGTTTGTTGTTAAATTTTAGCAATAGCTATAGGAACCACACAAACACATCTTGGCAGAAGGCAGCATGCTGTTGTCCTTCTCTGATTTAACAAGAAAGTTTCAGTTACCAAACAGCTGTGACATTTTACTCTGTATGGTTTTTAGATTGTTTTGATGTGTGGCCCTTTGTAAACTGATTCAAGATGCTTTTTAGAATAGGTAGAGTAAAATATTACCACAATAATAATAAAAACTTTATGCATATAATATTCAAAAATGCTTTTGGAAAAGAGTATTCAATAATGACTAGGGTCTGAAGAATCTTGGCTTGTTCCAATCTGAAGTGCTGCACAGTTCTTCTGGATATTTTGGAAATGTTTATTCAAATTTCATTCACAAATTGGTCACAATTTTAATTTTAAATATATAATCCATTAGGAGAACTAAAGCAAAGGATGGTGCAATTGTAAAGCTTCTGTTACTGCTTTATTGCAGCAAAAACAAGGAGGAATCTACTGTTTCTGCTGCTGAACTAATATTAAATCCTTTTATTTTCATTCAGACACCAAAACTCTTGATGATCAAACTTCAGAAGAACATGTAATGGGATTGCTTCAGAAAGTCAGTGATGCTCCATCTCTTTCAAGTGAAAGTAGTTTCTGTTCAAAAAAACCTCCAGGAATATCTAGACATGCTGAACAGAAAATAATAATGTAAGTACATCTTACCAGTCAAAAATCCTGATTAGTTTAAATTTTGCTTTGGGATGTTCTTGAAAAAAAATGTTCATTAGCATCAGGATGAATGGAGAAGGGACCCTTGTGTACTGTGTATCAGGCTAGATACCTCTCCACTACTGAGCCAGTAGGCGCATTGGACATTTTGACGGCACATTGTGCATGCTCTCGGAAAGTGGCTGCCATGTGACAGTTGCTTGTTTGTTTGTTTATTGGATTTATATGCCATCCTTCTCCGTGCGCATCTTGGGCATGCGTACCTTGCAGTTTATAGGATTTGTTTCCCTTTCTCTTATTTTTTTCTGGGCAGGCAATCCCATTTCAGACAAGACACCAATTACTTCCTGATAGATTTATATATATTATATACATGATATATACATTATGTAATATTATATACAGAAACATGCTTAACATGCAGTGAACCCTAGAGTGCTTCATGTGCTTAGATTATCCAGTGCAAAAAAACCCCAACATTGCTTTAATCTGTCAATTTAATTTGTCAATTTCATTTTTCAGTCAATGTTCAATTCGTTTATTTAGGGAATGCCTTTAGAATGGAAATATAATGAATGAAGAGGACCTTTCTTTCTTGCACAAAACGAGTTGTGTTGTTTGGTAAAATTCTAATGAGCAGAATGCTTGGACTTCTTTCTGGTCCTAATAGGATAACATGATGTATGGATTTCTAAGTCATATTTATTTTAATATTAGTGGGTGGTACGTAAAAGTTTGTTAAATTTTCTTCACCAGGAATTCATGGAAGCCAGCTGACATATTTAGTACTCTGGGAGAACGAGAATCAGATAAAACCTTGTTAGATGCTAAGAAATCTCAGTGGAAGAAAGAACTAGGTACTGTGTAATTTGCTGTGTTTCTACATTATGCAATTGATAATTGATTAGCATTTAACCTTAAATATTTTGTTTCTGAAGTAATAGGTGGGTTTTGCTTGTTCTAGTAGTACTGATTTCGTTAATCAGTGTTTAAATATTTCAATATGTAAATCTTTTTCATTATTTTTAGATTTAATAAATATAGAAATCAAATAATTATCTAAAATACATGCATCATTTCCAAGTCTTTTTTCCCCTATGCTGCTTTCTAATAAGATAGAAAAAATGGGGTGGAGTAGTTTCTAGTTCTATTTACTTCCGTTCTAGATGTGGCATCTCTTGTAATAATAAAGACAGTCCCAGTCAGTTCTGGCACATCTTATCCAATGTGCTGCAAGTGCGACCAAATCCTCACCCTATTCTATGCCAGCAAGAGAAATAAAATGGCACCAGCACATGTGTTTTTAGATTAGAAGGAAGCGTGTCAGCTAGGTTTTGTTTGCACGTTTTATTTATTTAGAATTTAAAGAGGGTTTGTGTACTAGAACTGGTATTGAGGATTGTTGGTTGCCAGGCCTTACTGTTTGTGATGCTTTGAATTGTGTTCTGAAGGATTACTGAAATGAAGGAGCAGAGTCTAAAGATAACGAAGTGCTGGCTGTGAGCCCTATTTTATTGCACCCATGCTGCTGTGGAGGACTAGAGGGACAGTGAGCTGATTTCTGTGGTGCTGAAATACCATAGAAGTTGCATTAACCTGGTCAAAGCTGGTTGTCTTGAGGGTGCTTGTATCAATGGATACTATCTTTTGGACCCCACCTTGGAAGATAGCAGAAGATTGATAAAGCGCGGAAGTGATTTTTCATCAAGAAGTCAAAGTGGTTGATGGAAAACTGTTAAGTTTTTGATAAAATGGCCAGAGAAACATGGCAGAAAAAAACTTTTGTTAGAGATATCATCGCAGAATGTAAGCTATTTTGAGCAAAGCTGCATTTTGCAATTGACTGATGGATGATTTTTGTCAATGCCAATGTATTCAAGTGGTGTTTAAGTAGTTTTGGGATTGCGCCCAAGATGGTTGTTGTTGTTGTTGTTGGTATTAAATAAAGTACAGTATATTGTTGACAAGGCTGTTCTTATAAGCATTTTTGACTGAAATGGTAAAAAAGTTATAAGATATCTGTAATCTAGAGACCACTTGGACCTCATCCAGTAACCAGGTAGTACATTGAAGAAAATGGTATATTGATATGGGAGAAGCAAAGATGATATACAAGGATAAAAAGAAATAGAGAGATATAGTGAATGGTTGATATAAATTAGATTTAGCACTATTTCCTTTCCTCTTTTCTTTTTTTTTCCATATCTCATACTTTAAATTCATTTGGCTTACTATTTCTTACTCCTTTATCCTAAAAAAGAATGGTGTGATTCTTATTTTTCACGTAAATAGAAAAAAAGAATGATAGTTCCCTTGTTTAAATTGAATTGAGTGATTGTATGTGATCTCTGTTAACCAATTAAACTTTTTCCATTTCCTGGGAGAGAAAAGAATAACTTCCTGATGAACTTGTAAACGATAAAATAAAATCAGATTAAAATGCATTCTTAAATTCCATCTGTGGTGCAGTTGAAGAAATGTATTATTAATTGAAACTTCTGTCATCAAATGTGTTACTTCTAGTTCCTGTTTATTGAACTAAGCCATTTAAAATTATGACTTAAGAAATGGACTTCTTTCACAACAAATGCCAATATAACTAGAGTTTAGGATATGAGTGTAGGCTAAATTACATGTAATGTTAATAAAGAATGTTAAAAGCTCAAGTCATCATGTGGTGATACTAGAAAGACTTGGAAGGAAGGGTAATATATACAAAGCTAAGGACATTTCTAGTCTCACTTCCATCATGATCAACCATTATTTAATGTCATGTAATGAATGTAGCTGATAGCAATTGCAATGATTGTTTCTGTCTTTAAAGATGAACAGGTAGCTTTAAAGAAGAAACTAAAAGAAACTTTGGAAGCAGAGTCCAGATACCACCAGCGGCAGGTAATTGATACAGTGAAAAGATGCTTAGAAAAAAGACAAAACAGTTATCAAGTAAAGATAAAAAAATAAAACATGTTTACTATATCCACTATTGCTTGTAAGAAAAATGCTTATATTTATATTTCTTTCTCTACTGCAGACATGACGAACCT